TACCCCGTGTGTGACGTTGCGGCGTGAGGGCTCAGAAGACCACGGTGCACCCCACCAGCACGGACACGCTTGGTCACAGAGCCAACTTGGCCAGCGGACGTGGAGGGGCCCAGAGGGATCGTCGGTAACCCAGAGGAAGCTTCTTTTTTCTCACACCCCTCCTGCTCCTCCCTCTTCCCCACCACCCACTCAGCCTGCAGCAGAGTGGACATTTCAGGAGCGGTGGGTGGTGTGGAGGCCTTCCTTCCATGGAGGACAGCTGGTTTTCCTTGCACGACAAGCCACTGCAATGCCAGGGTCTAAAGACTGAACACACCCCCGGAATGGGCATGGGCTCTGGGTAGGAAAGTGACCTGGTCCACTCTCCGGTGCCCTAGGTCCCTCTTGCTGTTCCTCCCCGATCTCAAAGGAGACGCGTTGGCTTGAGGCAGCACAGGGGCCTGGGTAGAAACCCCAAAGATCGGAAGAATCTCTAAGAGATCCCCCAGGCTCATCTTTTTGTGTTTATTCATTCATTCCACATAGAGTATGCAAAGCACTGAAATGAGAGAGAGAAACACGGCCACCCAGGGGAGCAGAAGAGCCTTAGGGAAATAACAGATTGTCTGACGCAGTGTCATAAGCGCAACCGGGTTTTGTGAAGCCGCCGGAGCCCAGAAGATAGAGTCACATCCGCCTTAGAGAACCAGGGAAGGTTTGATGCAGGTGGTGACATCTGGCTGGGTCCTGAGCGGTAGGCAGGAGTTCACGCAACAGGGATGAGAGGGAAGGACTTTCATTCCATGGAGGTCCAGTACAGGAGAATGGAGTGTTCCGGAAATAGATAAAGGTCAGTGCAACCGAAGAAAATAGCGCTCAGAGAGGAAGGGAGGGGCTGGAGAGTTTGGCCGTGGTGAGGGAGACCGGCGAAGAAGCTGGAGTGGAGCCAACAAAAAGGACCTGGTGTGTCCCACCGGGGGGCCAGCCGAGGTTGCCTGTCCCGGGTTTAGGGCGGCGGCGTGACTCGCACACGCGCCCCCAGACTCCATGGGGAACCACCAGGCCAAGGGTCCCTCTTTGGAGGTCTCCGAGCCCGCGGAGCCCCAGAGGGAGAGGTCGTGTTTTACTCTTTCTGTTTTGAGTTGGAGTCTCACACTGTTGTCCAGCCTGGAGTGCAGTGACACGCTCCCGGCCACCGCAGCCTTCGACCTGCCAGGCTCCGGCGACCCTTCCGCCTCCGCCTTCCAAGTAGCTGGAATTACAGGCGCGCGCTACCACGCCCGGCTGATTTTTTTATTTTATTGTAGAGATGAGGTCTCGCCAAGTTGCCCGGGCGGGTCTCGAACCCGCGGGCTCAGGCAGTTCACTCACCTCAGCCTCCCAAAGCGCGGGATGACAGGCCGAGTGTTTGACGTAACCCTCCGGCTTGTGCCCGGCGCAGAGAGGGGCCCGTGCAGGGGAAGGGTGGGCGAGAGAGCCACAAAAGGACAACCGCAAAGCCACGCCCGCAAGACAGGACCCAGATGACCAGATAGAAGGGGCCAAGGGGGGTCCCCGCCAAAGCCGGGAGGTGCCTGGGCGGAGTGGCTCGCAGGCGGGTCTGTGGGGAGAGGGGCCGGCAAGTCTCGCCGAGGCCTTTCTTCCCCCCTTCTGCCACGCCCAGTTTCTCCCGCATGCTTTGTCCTCCTGTCCCCCAGCTTTGGGGGCAGAGCGACAGCCAGGTCTGAAGAACAGCACCGTGCAAACCGCAAGCGCGTGGCCGCGGCCTTTGTCTGCCTCCTGGCGAGGCCCGGCCCGGAGGTCCCGGCCCCAGGCGCGCTGCAGGAGAGCCACGCCAAGCTGGTCGCTGTGGGTTGCACGGCTGTTCTGAGTGAAGTGTCTGCCACCTCGTGGCAGAGCCTGGTACCGCCTGGGCCCCACTGTCAGAACTGCCTTCCAGGGCTCCCCGAAACGCTGCTGCCCCTGGAGTGGCCCCTGGGCCCCTGCAGGGACAGCTGCGGGGGCCGGGGGGAGAAGGGAGGAGCCTTCCTGTGGGGACCCCTTCCCTCCACGCCTTGCTTAGGGAAGCCTCCAGCGGGAGCAGTGGCGAGCTCCCGCACCCTGGAAGGCCATTCTCGTTCGTGGGTGGAGAGCCATCTGCCAAGGGGCGGAGGTGGTCACGGTGCTGCCCACCCTCGATGAGGACACAGCCCGGAGGAGGCTGGGAGTGAGACGCGGGCCGACCAGGAGCTGGTCCTGGCTCTGGGGAGCCAGGAGGCAGGGAAGGGGCGGGTCTCGAAAACAGGCAGGGGACGTCTGAGGTCAAAGCAGGAGTCGGCTCAGAAAGTAGGCCAGAGGTGTGTGTCCGGAGGGCCGGAGGTGAGCACCTCTCAGGAGTTGAGTCAGCAGCGGGAGTGAGGGAGCCCTCTGAGGGTGACCAAACCTGTGCGCGTGATCGTTCTGGGCTTTGGACCAAGTGAGGGTGTGAATTTCACTTGCGTTACAAATCTGTAGCCCGTGGTATCAGACTCTTTCAATGCGGTCTTTGGGTACAGCTGCAAGAGGTGAGAGATTGTTTGAAGTTAGTCATCGATGTCCTCTTGTTGTCTTAACTTGCCTTGGGCCGGGAACGGCAAGTCCTCAGCTTGGCTTTTCTTTTCTGCAAATACCCCAGAGCGCTTGGACCAGCATATTTCGTTCTCACAGCCACCTGGCCTCCCAGAGCCTTCCTCCAGCAGACGCGTCTTCACTGGCAAATGCTCGTGACCGCTTAAGTAACCGCGTTGCCACTGCACACCGTGGGCACGTCCTCCACCCCCGGTGAGGTCACTTCTCACTCTCAACCTAGCCTTGCCAGTCAACCAGCCCCACATCCCCGTCCTTATGGGGGCTGTGTTTCCTGAAGACAACCTGGAACCCAGTGCTCGGTGAGCCGGGACTCGGTCACCGAAACAGAAGGCGTTCAAGGTGTTTCAAGCCGCATGGATTCTCCAAAGGGACTTTGGTGTTTAAAGGACCGTTAGCAGGGCTGTGGGGGTGAAGGTCAGGGAAAAGACACGAGATTTCAGAATACCAAGGAGTTGCAGAAACTGCCAGAAATCATCGCCCATGACATTCCTTGCCGACAGCACAGGGGTGACCGACTCTCAGGAGATGGCCGGGCCGAGTGGGCATCTTGGGTCTTGGGTCTTGGGTCTGCTCCCCGCGGAGACCTGTACCCATCCTCCAAGCTACGCCTTGCAGGGAATAGCTTCTCCTTTTCTTTAGCCTGCCAGATTGCGTGTGAGTTTCTCTCATTGGTGGAATCTAACGTGGAGCGTCGTTGGCAAGAGAGTCTGGGAAACGTAGTCTCCAAGCTTCCCGCCCATGTGCACCAGGGCGAGCTGAGACTGTCAGGGACCCAGGCACAATATCTGACACACACTTTTACATGCGGGTGGTGATAATAATAGGACTTCCTTCTCGTGACTGTTGTGAGGCTAAAATTAACACGTGTGAAGTCTGCACGGAGCGTGGCATATGGTAGGCCCTCAATAATTGCTGCTTTGCAAAAAAATTGTCACAATCGACGTTAGAAGGGCTCCTCTTTCTCGTCTCTAACCCCCGCGAGAAAACTGGCTGCCTCTGAGCTGTCTGGTCCAATCCTCCTGCCTTGGCGAGGGCCCCTGTTCCTTATCGTTCCGGACCTGCTTTTAGGATTGTCAGCCTGCCTCGTGCTGGCTCAGAGGGCTGAACAGAGACCGGGAAATAGGTGACATTTCTCGTGAAAAACCTGAACCCGTGAATGATGCTGAATATTAATACAGGATTCCGTGTGCTTGGCCGATGTGGGAACTTCATCCCAAATGGACCAGTGGACAGTCAGAGTCTTGTAAGTTCCCTCATGAAAACTCAGGTCCCAAGTCTGCTTTGCAGCTGCAGTTGAAGTTGAGATTCCGTGGCCTTATGCTCAGATGCTCCAAGCAGCCTGCAACAAGAAGGAATGAGGGCACAGCTGAAATCCTAAAGGGAAAAGAAGCGGGCTAAAATCCACGGGGAGCAATGTCTGCTTCTTAATCTGTCTCCTGCCCCAAATAGCTCTGCTCTCCTCTCCCAACTCGTGTTTACACCTGTCTTTCCCTGGCAGCAGATGCCACCGGGACATAAACTAGGGCGCGGAGGGTGGTGATGGGCTGACACGGACCCTCAGGCCACGTCCTCCCCTGACCTGACTCCCAGGCTCCCTGGACTGGAGTTGAGAGTGCAGACCCCAGTGACCCCCTACCTGCCAAGACGTCCCGGCAGGGCCCTGCTCTCTAGAGCCATAGTGAGCTGGGGGACCCTCTATCCAGCACGAGCGGGCCAGGGTCTGTTCCTGAGCTGATGCCCCGTTCCTTTCATTCCTTCCCACCAAAGCCCTGTCGAGTTCTCCCAGGGGTGCCCATTCTTCCTCAGGACAGCGAGGGAACCACACTCACCCACTCTTTTCCTGGGAGAATTTGGGGGCTGGTTTCAAACAGACCCAGAGTCCAAACCATACAACTGGGAAAGCAGAGGTGTAGGGAGGTAAGTCACAGAGTTAAAAAAAAAATCTGGGCCAGACATAGTTGCTCATGCCTGTAATCTCAGCATTTTGAGAGGCCTTGGCAGGAAGATTGCTTGGGTCCAGGAGTTTGAGACCAGCCTAGGCAACACAGTGAGACCTTGCTTCTGTTATTTAAAAAATTAGCCAGGTATGGTGGTGCATGTCTGTAGTCTCAGCTTCTCAGGAGACTGAGGCAGGAGAATCGAAGAGGTCAAGGCTGTGGTGAGCTGAGATCATGTCACTGCATGATCTGCTACTGGGCAACAGAGTGAGATCCTCACTCAAAAAAAATCTGATATAAATCTGATTTTAACATTCAGTCTCCTGAGGCACAGCAAGCTAAATGCCCACCCAGAATCAGCCGCTGGCCTGAAAGGCCCCACTGCATGTCCCGAGCCACGTGTGTGCCCCCTCCAGCCCACCTCCCCCAAGCCTCTTCCTCCCAGAAGGGCCTGACACTGCTTTTTTCTCCCCGCAGGTCCTGTCCAGGCATGGCTTCGGCCCGATCACCACCGACATCCGGGAGGGACAGACTTTCTACTATGCGGAAGACTACCACCAGCAGTACCTGAGCAAGAACCCCGATGGCTACTGCGGCCTCGGGGGCACTGGAGTGTCCTGTCCCATGGGTATTAAAAAATAGTTTCCCCCCACATGGTAGGCCTTTGAGGTTCCTGCAAAAACGCTTTCAGCAAATAGGGCAGTCCTTTTGTGATTCTCAACCCGTGGCTTTCTGAAATGCACAAGGTGCGAGGGTGTTTATAAAAACCTGGTTTATGGAAGTGTCATTTACAGGAGGTGCAGTGGCCAGTTGACAAGGTGTCATTTGCCTTCTCACCAATTACGGTGGGAGTAGAGCAGAGAGCAGTGGGGTCCTCTGGATCACATGGGGCTGGGTGAAGATAACGAATGGGCCCTGCCCCCCTTCTTGGTCGGGCACCTCTCCTAGAAGTTGCAGAATGAGCTGGGAGGTTGTCGGACAGGACAGGGGGAGTTTGGAAATCCCTGGTCTGTACCTCCTGCCTGCTAGTGCCTTAGAACTTGCAAACAATCATAGCCTCAACGAATCATTCACCGAAATGCTTTGCTGCACGGAACCAAGACATGTGCAAGGGGCTTTCTTTCCCTTTTTGGCCCTCTTGGTCCAGAGAAAAGATGTGAGTCAGCTTGGTGAATCCTAACGCTTTGCTTACAGCTATGAGAAATGTATGTTCCAATAAAAACCTGCAGTTCAATAATACAAACTGCCTGATGTTTCTTTTGCCATGCCCTTGTTTAGGTAGGATATTTCTAAGTGCCCCAAGATGAGTTCAAGAGCGCTCACAGAGCCTGGGAGGGAGAAAGCCTCTTAGTCAGTTGCTCCCCATGGGAATCCTTAGGATTGAAAGTTTTTGGCTGGCCAGGCTCGGTGGCTCAGCCTGTCATCCCAGCACTTTGGGAGGCCGAGGCAAATGGATTGCCTGAGCCCACGGGCTCGAGACCTACCCAGGCAACTTGGCGAGACCTCATCTCTACAATTAAAAAAAAAAATTAGCCAGGTGTGATGGTGCGTGCCTGTAGTTCTGGCTACCTGGAAGGCTGAGATGGAAGGATCGCCGGAGCCCAGCAGGTCGAGGCTGCAGTGGCCGGGAGCGTGCCACTGCCCTCCAGTCTGGGCAACAGAGTGAGACTCCAACTCAAAAAAAAGAAAGTAAAGAAAGTTTTTGGCAACCTCTAACTCCTTACAGCTATACGAGTCATCGTTCTCCCAGTGGTGCCTATCACGTGGGTCACATCACAGATTATTCTAGCTAGAGAGAACAGATGCCTCCCATCCCTCCCTTAGGAACCTTTATATTCCAGACAAGGGACTGGAGTTGTCAGCAAAACCCACGTGCACAAATGACTAAATGAGACAGTCTCAGGGCTGACACGGGACGAGGCGATGGTGAACAGGAAAGTTGGCGAGCTGTGTCTGGGGGCTATGGAGCTGCATCTGGGACTGTTTTCGCTTCTTCGGTGGGGGAAGTGGTGAGACTGGAGAACCAACTGATCCTTCAAAGGATCCAAGGATCGAAAGGAGGCAGCATGTCAAGAACACGCTAGTGGGAATAGACATCATGACTGTCAGCATTCTCACTGTGCTTGCTTTGGTTGCCTGAAGAAAAGGTTTTTTGTTGAAGAAATTTTTCTTTGGAGATGGGGCTCTCACTCTGCCACCCAGTCTATAGTGCTGTGGTGCGATCACAGCTCACTGCAGCCTCGAACTCCTTCTGGGTTCCAGCAACCCTCTTGCCCCACTCTCTGAGCAGCTGGGACTACAGACACATGCCATCACACCTGGCTAATTTTTTAATTTTTTGCATCAAGAGTGTGGGGCAAAGCTTAGACCAACTTCTATAGGCAAAGCAGGACACGGTGAAAACTGACAAGGAGGCCAGGCCTTTTGAGGAAGGACCTTAAGCGTTTCAAGGGGTGCACTCCTTGACTCTTGCTCTAAGCCTTCCCCCGAAGGATCCGGAGTCTTGTTCCCAGGTGGCTCTGCGCAGGGGGGATGGAAATAAGCCAGGTTTCCAGGAGTTATTACGTGCTGGTTCTAAACCAACAATCCTTGAAGACCTGACACACCGCCAAGGTCCACCAGCAGAGTAGGGTTTATGAAGACCAGGTGCCAGGCGGGGTCTTGCTCCAAGTCGGTCTCTCAGAGGACCCGTGGGTCTGAATACAAACCTGAAATTATTCCCCACCCCAGAATGCGTGATGGTATTAGCCATGATTCTAGCTTCTGTAGCTTGATCCTTTAACATCCATCCTATGTGCATGTACCTGAGTCACCGTCCCTGGCCTCCTGGCCCCTCCTCATGTCCTCTTTTCTTCAAGGGGAGTTCTTCTCCTGAGGGTGCACTTCTTCAAATACGCAACAACCAATCCAGAGCCCACACCCCAACCGCCTCCTTAATGGGGCTCGCACACTCCAGGCCACTGTTCGCCTGCCCTAATCACCCAAGGGCCAAGTACCTGAGAACGAGGAACAGTCCCAGAGCCCCTTGAAGCCATGCCCAGTAGTTAGCCCTGATCCTGGCCCCTGCCTCGCCCACTCCTTCCCATGCAAACCATAACAAAGGCTCTCGTCAGTGGCACCTCTTCCAACTCTGCCTCCTGCCCAGCCCTAGGGCTTCTGCTTGTGCGCCCTTCTTCTAGGACCTGTGAGTAACAAGCTCTCCTTTGAGTGACAGTCATTTCCTGGTCTGTTGGCTTTGTTATACCTAAGTAGTAACAAAACCTATTAAACATAGAATAGATACACTTAATAACTGACAACCTCCCCATTTTAGTTCCCTGAGCCATGGAGTAAAGCTGCGACTCCCAATATTAGTAAATTAAAACAGTACCTTATCTCTGGGGGAATGTCAAATAGTGATGGCCCCAGTGGTGGATCTAAATGATGAAGGGGTGGGGATTGGTGTCCAGCACCGTTTTGTCACCCTGTTTAGCAGATGTAATACTGCTTCCTGCTCCCAGTTTTGTGTCATGTGTGGGTTTCATTAGTGTGTCTTCTTGAAAGTTATTATGCAAAATATTGAACTGGACAGTTCACTTAGAGAGGCGAGTCCCTTCTTTAAGATCTTAGAGTATCTCTTCTAATTGGCATGACTCATCATTATACTGTCACCTCATGACCCTTCTGCTCCCAGCCTCTAGCAGATTCTGCTTGTGGGTTGTCATGCTCTTTCCTGCAGAGCCTAGATACATCTTCAGAATTCTTCTACACTAAGGACCTTGGGCAGCCACTGCCAACCGATCAGACTTGGTTTCCCAGGTAAAACCCCAAGTTTTCCTCCTAAGTGGACACAGAACTGCTGATAAATGCTTTGCGTAGAATGCCTCAGCCAGTGGTAATTTCACCAATTGTTCCAACACCAGTTGTTGAGAAACTATTGTTGTGGTTTGAAAATTTGTATCCTCCTCAAATTTCTATGTTGAAATTCTAACCAAGGTGACGGTATTAGTAGGTGGGGCCTTTTCTGAGATGATTAAGTCATGAGAGGTGAACCATTATGAATGAGATTAGTGCCCTTATAAATTAGGCCCAAAGGAGCACCTTTGCCTCTTCCACCACAGGACATCGCAAGAAGGTGTCATCTAGGAGCCAGAAAGCCTGCCCTCACCAGACACTGAATCTGCTGGCAACCTGTTCTTGAACTTCCCAGCTCAAGAACTGTGAGAGATACATTTCTGCTGTTTATGTGCTACCCAGGTTATGGTATTTTTATTTTTCTTAGAGTTGGAGTTTCACTCTGTCGCCCAGACTGGAGTGCAGTGGCATGCTCCTGGCCACCGCAGCCTCGACCTGCTGGGCTCCGGTGATCCTTCCACCTCAGCCTTCCAAGTGACCAGAACTATAGGCGCACGCTACCACGCCCAGCTAATTTTTGATGTATTGTAGAGACGAGGTCTCACCAAGTTGCCCAGGCGGGTCTCGAACCCACGGGTTCAGGCAATCCACTCGCCTCGGCCTCCCAAAGTGCTGGGATTACAGGCTGAGCCACCGAACCCGGCCTATGGTATTTTTTAAAATAGAAGCCTGAATGACTAAGACAACTATCCTTTCCCAACTAAATTGATTCTGCACATTTGTTGAAAATCAATTGTCCATGCATGTATGAGTCTATTTCTGGACTGTCTATTCTGTTTTATTGATCTATTTGTCTATCTTTATGCCAATGCTACACTGTCTTGATTGCTGTAGATTGCCATAAAGTCTTAAAATCAGATAGCGAAAACCACTGAGCATTCTAAAGTTAAAACCCTACTCTGGTTTCAGATAAGGTACTTAATGGTCCTTTTTCATCATCCAGCATGACTATCCCCTCCATAGCTCTAAAGTTTGATTTTTTTTTCTTTGCTTTAAGAAAAAAATAGTATTGTGAACAATCTGAACCTGACAAGTTCACATGAAACCACTGCACAGCAACTGGGTTTTACAGCAACCTTTGGACGGGCCATATCCCGCCCAACAGTGAGCAGCCTTGGAATAAGACTGATGTGGGTTTCTAGGGAAGCATGTGGGTAGGAACCACATACACACTGGATCTAAATATAATTTATTTTAAATCTCTCCCTGGAAACCTAAGCTTTGATAGTTTACATCTTCACTTAATAGCTTATTAAGGCATTTTATAAACCTTAACAAAACCAGGTAGTGTAACTTCTCTAACTTTTTTCTCTTTTAAAATTGTTTTTGGTTATCCTTGGTCCTTTGCCTCTCTATATGAGTTTTATAATGAGTCTGTCAATTTGTACAAAAAAAGAACTCTGCTGGGATTTTTAAAGGGAATTGCATTGAATCGGAATCCATTTGGGGAGAATTTACAGCTTAATAATGTTTTGTCTTCCAATTCATGAACACAATATAGCTCCCTATTTAATTAGTGAATTAATTAAATTTATTTGATTTCTCTTAATAATATGTTGCAGTTTTCATTGTCCAAGTCTTGCACATCTCTTGTTAGATATATCCCTAAGTATTTCATATTCGTATGGAGATGTTATAATACTCTTTTAAAAATTTTAGTTGGTAATTGTTTGTTGCCAGTTTATACACATATGATTGATTTCTGTGCATTGATTCTGTACACTGTCACCGTGCTAAACTCATCTATTAATTCTAGTCTCTCTCGTAGATTCCGTGGGATTTTCTACATAGATAATTATGTCCTCTGCAAATGGAGACTATTTTACCATTTTCAATCTGTGTGCTTTTCCCCTCTCCCAAACCTTGTTGTACTTTTTCTCCAGTACAGTCTTTAATAGAAATGGTGACAGCGGAAATCCTTATCTTGTTCCTGATCCTAGGGGTAGAGAATTCAGTCTTTCACCATCACATATGATGATAGTAGTAGATTTTTCATAAAAGCTCTTCATCAGATTTCCTTCTATTTTTAGTTTATAGAAAGTTTGTATGAGGAATGGATGTTGGATTTTGTCAAATGCTTTTTTTCTTGTAGGAAATTATTATTTGGGTATTCTTTATTCTTCTGTGAATATGGTCAATTATATTGATTGGTTGTTGAGTGTTAAATCAACTTTATAGTCCTGGGATAAACCCACTTGGTCATGATGGATTATCCCTTTTTTACAACGTTGGATTTGTTAACATTTTCTTAAGGATTTTTGCATCTATGTTTATAAAGATAGTTTTCTCTTTTTTGTAATGTCTTTACCTAGTTTTGGGATCAGGATAATGCTAGCTTTATAGAA